CCTGTGCTAAAATATACAGTAAGTGTCAAAGCAAAACGATCCCAGAATCTAGTGAAAGGATGTAGGAGGGAGGAATCGTAAACAAAGGCGAGATGTCAGAGAAAGTTAAGAAAATACCGCCCACAAAAACATGAGAATCACGAACAGAGACAGATCCAGAGGCAGAGGAGCGTCAGCCAGACTGCCAGGCCTCAGAGGGAAGGCAGGGGAGGGCGGGCAGAAGGAGATCAGCCCAAGGACGCTTGTGCATGCATGTAAGCCTCACCACTGGACACGAACACCGGGAGGGAGGGCGTGAGGGGGGCGGGGGTTGGTTGCGGGGTTAGTGTAGGGATGAAGGCACATATGTAATACCTTAATCAATAAAGAAATTTAAAAAAATAAAGGCATTAAAAGAAAAATAAAACAACAAAACAAAAACACGGGGACAAACATCCATCCACAAGCATCCATGACATTGAAATACAGAAATTCCTGACACCGAAATGCTGGCATGGGGGGGAGGTCAGTGGCCTTACAGTTCCCAGCATGCTGTGCTCCAGAGGAAATGGGAAAAGCGTGCATGCCGCCCGGCCAGCGTGGCTCGGGGTGAGCGTCGACCCACGAACCAGGAGGTCAGGGTTCGACTCCCGGTCCGGGCACAGGCCTGGGTTGCGGGATCGATCCCCAGTGGGGGGCGTGCAGGAAGCAGCCAATCCATGACTATCTCTCATCATGGATGTTTCTCTCTCTCTCTCCCTCTCCTTTCCTCTCTGAGATCAATAAAAACATTTTTTTAAAAAGTCTTCATGTTTATCTGCGAACCAGCAGCGCCGCTGTGTGTCTCGGTAGCGCTATCCGCCGGAACTCAGATGCTGGATGGACCTGGACCCTCACGTCCCAGCGTCCGGCATCCACCAGCCACATGCGTCCACTTTGCCCCTGAAACATGGTGAAGGTGGCCGAGGGACTGAATGCCGCCTGAACCTAACCCGTGCGATTGAACTGGGCATGTGTGGTCCCTGGCTCCACTCCTGGGGCAGGGCCGAGGGCACCCTGTCAGTGAGCGATGGGACAACCCTGCCTGTGTCCCCCAGGGCCGTGGTCGGCAAACTGTGGCTTGAGAGCCACACGCGGCTCTCTGGCCCCTTGAGTGTGGCTCTTCCACAAAACACCACGGCCTGGGCGAGTCTGTGTTGAAGAAGTGGCGCTAGAAGAAGTTTAAGTTTAAAAAATGTGGCTCTCCAGAGAAAGGTCAATCGTTGTGCTGTTGGTATTTGGCTCTGTGGACGGATGAGTTTGCCAACCACGGCCTTAGGCCAAAGCAGCTGGGATTCTGCAGGCGGTCTCCAGAGCGGGCGGTGCGGTGAGGGTCCGGGAGGGAAATGGATTGACGGGCCAGCGCCATGTTATGTGTTCTCGGCGACGCAGACGGACAACAGGCTCAGTCAGGCTCGGGCAGGCCTTGGCCAGGGATGGGCCGCCGAGGACGTGACTCCCATCTCACTCCACCTGTGCTCACTCTCGGGCTCTGGGTTTGCGAGGCGACCACGCAGGCTGCCCTGAGCCTCAGCCAGCATGGGGCCCTCCGTCCACGGCTCTGTCTCCAGCCACCACCCAGCCGCCCTGTTAGCACCTTCCTTTTAAAAACTACAACATGTTTCTATTGATTTCAGAGGGGAAGGGAGAGGGAGAGAGAGAAACATCAATGACGAGAGAGAATCATGGACCAGCCGCCTCCTGCACGCCCCCTACCAGGGATCAAGCCTGCAACCCGGGCCTGTGCCCTTGACCGGGATCGAACCTATGACCCTTCAGTCTGCAGGCTGACACTCTATCCACTGAGCCACACCAGCCAGGGCTACAAGTCGTTTTGAAGACAGTAAACAAATGATATAAAAGCAAATATGTGACCGTGGCATGAGATCTTACTTTAAATCTGCTGCCTGTCTCCCTTCGTGGCATCAGAGCAGGTGGATGGGGAACAGCTGGGAGGGCAGGAGAGACAGACACTCGGCAGAGTGCGTCCCCCGGCCCGTCTGCACAGCACCGGGCGCACCGGCCGTCCTCCAGGGAGCGCGTTCCCCGCGTGCGGATTCAAAGTGTTGGGACCATCACAGGTCACAAGCCACAGGTCACAGGTCACAGGAGCAGCCAGAGCTGCAGCCGAGAGTCACACGGGAGACGGGCGGGGGCAGGGGCCGCCCGAAGCAGCTGTGTGTTGTGTGCAAACCTACGTCAGCCCGGCCGCACCTGCAGGCCACTCGGCAAGAAGCGGATGACAGCGCGGCCGGCAAGCAGGCCGGGCAGGAAAAGCCGGATCCACAGCTGGGAGGCGAGAAGCTCAGGGGCCTCAGCCCTGACCCGCCACCCAGAGCCCCAGGGCGAGGGGGTCCCCAGGCCACAGCGGGGCATTGGGCGGCTGGGGGCAGCCGCAGGTCTCCTGGCAGCCCCTGTGGAGAGAGGGGCCCCGTGGGCAGGGGCTGGGAGTGCAGGGGCCCCTGAGGGAGCAGAGGAGAGGTCCCGGAGCAGCCACCGGGACATGTGCAGACGTGACTTACAGTGAGAAGGTGCTGAGGCCCGGCCGGTGTGGCTCAGTGGTGAGCATCGATCTATGACACAGGAGGAGAGGGTTCGATTCCCAGTCAGGGCACAGGCCCGGGCTGTGGGCTCCATCCACAGTGTGGGGCGTGCAGGAGGCAGCCGGTCCACGATTCTCTCCCATCATCGCCGTTTCTCTCCCTCTCCTTTCCTCTCTGAAATCCTAAAAACATATTTAGAAGAAGCAGCTCTGGTGTGAAAGCCACACCTCGGACGGGGCGTGTGCACCATCTCGCTGGGAGTGTCACCAGCACAACGCAGGCTCCTCTCGCTTTAATGGGCTGTAAAGTCACCACCATCATACGTGTGCAGCTGGAACACGCAGGGAGGCACCTTCAGAACTCCTCAGAGCCACCCTCCTTCCCGTGAGCGTGTTCACGTGCAATTTTCCAACGCCTCCTGCAGAGGTTAGACCTTCGTCTCAGTAAACTGATGAACAAAAACAGACCCGGAGACAGAGAAGCATCGATCAGACCATCAAACCTCAGAGGGAAGGTCGGGGAGGGTGGGAGTAACGGGGAGAGATCAACCAGAAAATCTGTACACATGCATACAAACCTAACCAATGGGCACAGACACCAGTGGGGTGAGGGCGTGAGAGGGGGGTTGGGGGGCAATGGGAGAATAAGGACACATATGTAATACCTTAATCAATAAAGAAAAAAAGAACAGGAAAAAAAACACACACACAAAAACAGAAGCTGGAACTGCCTTACGACCAGGCAGCCCCAGTTCTGGGTGCGAGGCTGAGGAGCTCTGACCCCCTAATCCCAAAGGATACCTGCACCCCGCTGTCCATCGCAGCACCGTGGACAGCAGAAAAGACAGGGGGCCGCTCATGTGCCCACCAATAAACACGCCAACAGGAAGGCTGGCTGCGTGTACACGTGTGCGAATGGAGTGTTACTCGGCCGTAAAACCGGAATCTTACTGTTGGTGCCAGCACGAGTGAAATAAGCCATCGGAGAAGGACAAGGACCATGTGATCCCACTAAAGAGCAAAATGAAGGAGCGAGCAGAACCGAACCAGACCCACAGAGAGCAGCCGGGCGGGAGGGGGCGGGAGCCGGGGGCCGGGGAGGGAGGGAGAAGCACAGGTTGGCAGCTACAATACAGTCAGGGGATGTACAGTTCAGCACAGGGACTATCATCCTGTCTAACAAAAGCCTCATATGCAAATCGAACAGCGGAACCACCTGTGGAATGACGGGTCTCTATGACATGCACTGACCACCAGGGGGCAGGTGCTCAGCACAAGAGCTGCCTCCAGCCCACAGGCCTCAGGCCAGCCAAGGCGGGTGCCAGTGGAGGGGGCCTCGATCGCCCCACAGATGGGCCCTGATCACCGGCCAGGTCTAGGGCCCCTATCCCTGCACGAACTCCGTTCACCAGCCTCTGGTGAATGTGAGAACCATGTGGTGTTGAGGGGTACGGGCAGTATTGGGGGGATCACTCTGTAAAGTCTACGAGGTCCATTCACTGTGCTGTGCATGCAAAACGAATACAGGAGATACAGGATGTGAACTGTAATTGCCAATAATAATAATATAATAATAATAATAAAATATTAAAAATAAATCCACAGCCCTAACCAGTGTGGCTCAGTGGATAGAGCATCAGCCTGTGGACTTCAGGGTCCCAGGTTCGATTCCGGCCAAGGGCATGTACCTTGGTTGCAGGCACATCCCCAGTGGGGGGTGTGCAGGAGGCAGCTGATCAATGATTCTCTCTCATTGGTGTTTCTAACTCTCTATCCCTCTCTCTTCCTCTCTGCAAAAAATCAATAAGATATATTTAAAATAAATAAATGAATAAATCCACACATACAGAGAGGCGGGGACACTTGGGCTTTCAGGAAACTCAGAACCAGACGTGTTGGGCCCCCGTGCAGCACTGCTCCCTGCCGGGCCGTGCTGGGGTTTGCTGCCAGCTGCACGGACGGGGACGGAGCCGCCATCGGGGGTGAGTGTGTTCTGCTCTGGGTTTGGTGCCCACACGGAGCGCGCTGCACGCCCCCCGGACGCCGAGGTATTTTTAGAGCCGGGAACGCACCGTGACTACCCGGCCCATCGCCGCGCCGTCCCAGAGGGAGGAACAAAGAGCACCCGTGCCAAGGGGGCAATTACGACAATTACCCCGGCCGCCGGCGAGATGAAGGCGGGACGTGTGCGCCCCGAGTCGCCGCTTTGAAAGCCGCGCCCCTCATTACGCCGCTCCCAGGCCAGCTTTGAAGGTGGCATCGCGGCGCAGGGCCTAATGGGCATCTGGGGAGGAAGGAGCTAATTGGGCATCTGGGGAAGAAAGGCCCTGGGCCCGGCCGAGGTATAAAAGCTCCAGCCCAGGAGCCAGCGCCACAGCCACAGTCCTCCCTCACCTCCGCTCAACTAGAACCAGAACCAGAACCGAACCGAACGGCCAGCATGCCCTACAGCCGCAGCTCCGGGACCCTCTCCTCCCGCTCCCTGGGCGGCTGCCTGCGGTACCCGGCCTCCTCCTGCGGCTCCTTCTACCCCGGCAACGGCTACCCTGGCAACGGCTACCCCGGCAGCGTGGCCTACACCCAGGGCCCCTGCCAGCAGGGCTCCCCCGCCTACGGCTGCCAGGAGGCCTGCTGGGAGCCCGCTGCCTACCAGGCGCCCGGCTACGGCCGCCGGTCCTCCTCGCTCTGCCGGCCGCTCCAGGCCTCCTGCCCCGGCTCCTCCGGCTGCAGCGGCACCGGCTTCGGGCCCTTCGGTTACGGGGGCTCCCGGCCCCAGGCGCTGGGCTGCGGGTCCGGCTACTGCCGCCCCACCTACTTCTCCTCGTCCAGGCCCTACCAGGGCCCCTCCTTCCAGCCGGCCTGCGGCTCCAGCTGCTACGGACAGACGTACTGACGGCCCGTCCGCGGACGCCTGAGCCCTGAGCGGAGCAGCCTCCTGGGACGTCGGCCTCGGCCTCGGCTGGACCAGGCCCACCGCGGCCTCCGGACCCGGGACTCGCTTCCCGGGCCCAGCCGCCCGGGCCTCTCAGCCGGCCTGGGAGCCGGAGCCGCCCGGGCTCCCCGGGGCTCAGCCCTCCCGGCTCTCCCTCCGCTCCCGGGCTCCGTCCCGGCGCCGTGTCCCCTGTGGATGTGGCTGAAATAAAGGGTGTCTCTGGGTGAGCCACGTGTGCTGTGGTTTGTCCACGCGCTGCGTGTGTGTCCATGCGCTGCGTGTTTGTCCATGCGCTGCGTGTTTGTCCATGTGCTGCGTGTTTGTCCATGCGCTGCGTGTTTGTCCATGCGCTGCGTGTTTGTCCATGCGCTGCGTGTTTGTCCATGCGCTGCGTGTTTGTCCATGCGCTGCGTGTTTGTCCATGTGCTGCGTGTTTGTCCATGTGCTGTGTGTTTGTACTGCGCTGTGTCCATGCGCTGCATGTTTGTCCATATGCTGCATGTTTGTCCATGCGCTGCGTGTTTGTCCATGCGCTGTGTGTTTGTCCATGTGCTGTGTGTTTGTCCATACGCTGTATGTTTGTCCAGGTGCTGTGTGTTTATAAATGTGGTATGTGTTTGTACATGCGCTGTGTGTTTGTACACGTGCTGTGTGTTTGTACATGCGCTGTGTGTTTGTCCACATGCTGCGTGTTTGTACGTGTGCTGTGTGTTTGTACGTGCGCTGTGTGTTTGTCCATGTGCCGTGTGTTTGTACATGTGCTGTGTGTTTGTACATGTGCTGTGTGTTTGTACACGTGATGCGTGTTTGTATGTGCGCTGTGTGTTTGTACATGTGCCATGTGTTTGTCCATGTGCTGTGTGTTTGTCCATGTGCCGTGTGTTTGTACATGTGCTGTGTGTTTGTACATGCGCTGTGTGTTTGTCCATGTGCTGTGTGTTTGTCCATGTGCCGTGTGTTTGTACGTGCGCTGTGTGTTTGTCCATGTGCCGTGTGTTTGTACATGCGCTGTGTGTTTGTCCATGTGCTGAGCGTTTGTCCGCATGCCACGTGTTTGTACATACCCTGCGTGTTTGTACATGCGCCACATGTTTGTCCTGTGACACATGTTTGTCCATGTGCCATGTGTTTGTACATGCGCTGTGTGTTTGTACGTGCACTGTGTGTTTGTCCATGTGCAGTGTGTTTATACATGCGCTGTGTGTTTGTCCGTGCGCTGTGTGTTTGTATGTGCGCTGTGTGTTTGTACGTGCACTGTGTGTTTGTCCATGTGCCGTGTGTTTGTACGTGTGCTGCGTGTTTATACATGCGCTGTGTGTTTATATATGCACTGCGTGTAGCGAGTGGACGCTGTGCCTCCACTGCAGCCGGGAAAGCGTGTTTGTGGCCGTGTCCCTCGTGTGGCCGGTGTTTGGTGGTGGGAAGCGGCTGGAGGGAGGTGAATGGTTGCGTGGCCACGTCCCCCCCGGGCGCCTGGTCCTCTGTGGCCTCAGGAATGTTGCTGGGCTTCCTGGGAGCAATGGCAGCGCTCTGACTGCGGGGCCGGCAGAGGGTCCCTCCCCTCTGGCCACGGCTCTCGCTCTGGGCAACAAGGGCGGTGATGGCCAGGACGGCGTTTCGGGGAGCGCCAGCCCCCGGCTCCGAGCAGCGTGGGGAGCAGTGAAGTCGCTGTGGGCGTCTCCACGTAACGGGAAACGGCCGTGCTGCGGGTCTAGTGCCAGCGAGGCCTGGAGGAGGAGCCGGAAAGTGGGATTGGACAGGAAGGACGCGGGTCTGAGCTCGGAGGAGGGGAGGAGAGGGGAGGAGGGAGGAGGGAAGGGAGGAGAGAGGAGAGGGGAGGGGAGAGGAGGGGAGTGGAGGGGAGGGGAGAAGAGGGAGGGGAGTGGAGGGGAGGGGAGAGGAGGGGAGTGGAGGGGAGGGGAGAGGAGGGGAGTGGAGGGGAGGAGAGGGGAGGAGGGAGGAGGGGAGTGGAGGGGAGTGGAGTGGAGGGGAGTGGAGGGGAGGGGAGAGGAGGGGAGGGGAGAGGAGGGGAGGGGAGTGGAGGGGAGTGGAGGGGAGGGGAGAGGAGGGGAGTGGAGGGGAGGGGAGAGGAGTGGAGGGGAGTGGAGGGGAGGGGAGAGGAGGGGAGGGGAGGGGAGGGGAGGGGAGGGGAGTGGAGGGGAGGGAGAGGACATTGCTCACCGTGGGCTGGAAGACGGCTGAGGACGAGGTGGACGGGCTGCCGGCTCCCGGGGGGGGGGGGGGGGGGGCTGTCATCAATAAGGCGCCACAGGTGTGAGGACGCACCTTCCACTCCAGCGGAGACAGCGCCCTCTGCTGCCCACGTCTGCTGAGCATCCTTCCCGGCGAGGGCACAGCAGCCGGGTGTCCAGCGGGGACCCAGCAGGGACCCAGCAGGCAGGGGCCGCGCGCAGCGCGTTACGGGAAGGACTCTCGCCTGGCTGGTGGTGCAGCCTCCTCACCCCCGGATGGAGACAGCGGCGAAGGCGGGAGGAGGCCACCAGCGGGAGGAATTCCTCTGTCTCAGGAAGGGCGTGTTCGCTCGAAAAGGGAGCGGAAGGAAAGGGGATGGTGGGTGACTGGGATTAACCAGCGTGTGTGGCGTGTGATGAGGGGCCAGCCCTCGGGCGGAAGGAAGGGAAACCAGGGGCCTCTCCATAAACCCCCTGAGGGCTGGCCCCTCATCACACGCCACACACTGCCCCTTTAAATGGCGAGGTGTGTTATATGTTTTACTGATTTCAGAGAGGAAGAGAGGGGAAGAGAGATAGAAACATCAGTGATGAGAGAGAATCATGGATCGCTGCCTCCTGCACACCCCCAACTGGGGATCGAGCCCGCACCCGGGCATGTGCCCTGAAAGGAATCGAACCCGGGACCCTTCAGTCCTCCAGCCGATGTTCTGGTCACTGAGCCACACCGGCCAGGGCTCAGGGTGAGCTTCTTACAGCTTTATTGTAAGAAGATAAGCCTGACAATAAGCATCGCGTGTGTGTGAGGTGCCCGTGTGGTGGTTTAATGTGCATCTGTGACATGAAATGGTCCCCACACTCCGCCCACAAACACGTCCTTCCTCCCTCTCCGCCAGGTTCCCTGCTCACGTCTCCTCGTTCAGCGTGACTGTGAGGCTGTGCCAGACGCAGACAGACGCCTTATAACACAGGCAGCCCAGCCCCGGCACCGGCCCCTCCTCCGTCCCCGGGTTTGAGGACTGAGGGTCCCAGTGGGATGATGTTATGAGGGATCTGTCTGTCTGTGTCTGGCTCGTTTCTCTCGGCACAATGTGCTCTGGTCCATCCGTATTGTAGGAACTTCTCCCGTCTGAATGGGAGAGTCTGTATTTAATTCACATAAACTCGCCCAGGTGATGGAAGCCGGGCCACTGAGCAGCTACGCTCATCATGGCCGTATGCTCACTGTCATTTTTAGCAACAAGCGGCGATTTGCAGAAGGAAAGAAAACGGCTCGAAATAAACGCTGTTAATCCCAGTTATTGTGAGCGAGAATTTGAGTCCCCCCCTCACCGGTGAACAGCATTTCCATGGCTCGCTCAGTGCTATAGGCAAATCTGGAGACACACACGGGGCGGCCAGATGATGATGACCTGGGCACTCAGTGTGTGTGTGTGTGTGTGTGTGTGTGTGTGTGTGTACACACATATATATGTTAGAGGCCAGTGCATGAATTTGTGCATGGATGGGGACCGGCCAGCCTGGCCAGGGAGAGGGGACGTGGGCGATTGGCCGGCCTGCCTGCTGGTCAAACTCTGGTCGAGGGGACAATTTGCATGTCAGCCTTTTATTATGTAAGATAGACACGGAGTGGCCAGATTGTTATGTGTTCAGAGATCATCGTCATCTGGCCACTCTGTGTGTAACTGGCTTGAAATTGTAGCCTTTTCCTCACTGATTCCATAGGCGACCTGTCAGGTAATCAAGCAACTAACAGCGACAGGTAATCCACGTTTAAGAAATGATTCAAAATAAAACAAAAAGTTATAAAAGCCTATACATCCTGTAACAGTTTGCAGTCGTATAAGAATTCTCAGCCATCTCTCTTCATCGGAAAAGACTTGTTTAAAGGTATCAGGCTTTATTTTCTAAAGGAACTGTGCTTGATCGTAATGTCAACAACAGGCGTGTGGGTTGTAAGTTCACCGGGTCACACCCTCATTTCACAGAGGCGGGCGGCGAGGTGCGGGAGCTGTGAGGCAGGGGCACGTGTGGGCGTGACGTGCCAATGACAGACGATGTTTGCCGTATGCTACTCTCTAGAGTAAAAGCTGAAAAAACATGAACTCCACAGACAAAGTCCTGACTGAAGACCCTTCGCCACAGACTGTCTGGGTGTTTCTCTAAGGAGCTAAGAGACAGGTTTCTGCCAAGAGTTATAAGGTCATTTCAGCAGCTGCATCACTGAAATCGGGTTTGAAACACAACTGTGTCTCCCCGTCATTATAATCAGTGTCTGTGGGAACAACATATGTTATTTCTAGAAATAAGACAGACTTGCTCACTTAGAAGGTCCAATCAACGCAAAAGTGGCAGAGTACTCAGCCCTGGCTGGTGTGGCTCAGTGGATAGAGCATCAGTCTGCAGACTGAACAGTCCTGCATTTGATTCTGGTCAAGGGCACATGCCTGGGTTGTAATGGGGGACTTGCAGGAGACAGCCTATCCATGATTCTCCTCATCACTGATGTTTCTCTCTCTCTCTCTCTCTCTCTCTCTCTCTCTCTCTCTCTCTCTCTCTCTCTCCCCCCCTGTCCCTTCCTCTCTGAAATCCATAAACATAAAAAACAACCACCACAACAAAAATCGTACAGCTAACTGCCTCTATGAACTCTAATAATATGTGGATTCGTTTGTAGTTTAAAAAAAGCATCGTAGCAGAGGACTCAGAATCACTGCTTTTTGCAACCATTGTAGCCTCAGTGTGAAAAGACAGAGGAAAGTGCCTCCC